GCTAGAGCAGATGCTAGATCCCTCGGCTGAGCCGGAAAAACAAAAGCTTTGAGTGAGTTTTTAAGACTTGAAATAAAGGCGTGGAGCAGCGGGTCAGTCCTAATTCATCATTCAGAAGCGTTGCCTGCACCGCTTTGTGTGTCATTACGGACTTGTTTGTAACCAGAGTTAATTTTCTCTCAATTTCGTCATAATACTCCATTAAGGTCAAGTCACCTTGTCTAACAATCTCGAGGCCTTGCCTCAGAAGTCGTAGGGAGTTTTCGTCAGCGTAAGAGCAATCTAGTCTGACCATGATTGCACCAAAGTTCAGGACAGTATTTTGTGATACTAATACCGCTCTGGCTGCTCCTCTGATTTTATTCTTAATGATTGTTACCGCTTGATAATGCGTGCAGTTACCGTCAAAAGGTTTGAATGATTCGTACGCATCAACGGTTGATTGCCCCCATGCTACGTATTCTTCTGACCCGCCATTAAACTGACTGGGACTGATTTTATTATGTACAGTGGAATATTACAATTGATATGTGGATCCACAGAAATTCTTTTATAGGGCTCAACTTGTGGTGCTTCGATATTTAAGTTATTTACCCGCTCATTCATAGCGTTAAGCTGAGTTTGAAATCCTTGTTCTAGCTGCGCTATTGCTTCGCTAACAGCGGTGATTATTAATGATTGCACTTGGTTTGCGTCCATGGCGAAATTCGTTTAGTTTGGGACTTGGCTAATGCCGGTTTCTAGGTTCAGGACTTGGCTATCGTTGTTTTCTATGTCCCACTCAATATCACTGTCGCACTCGGTTTTTATATTGCGTAACGCGTCTATCCTACTCATGTGCTCATGTGTATAAAACCAATTATTAGCAGTGGCTTGAATTTGTTTTAGAATGGATTTTTTTTATGAAATAATTATTTTAGTTGACACAAATCATATATTTTTTTGTTAATAAGATAATTCGATATTTCACAATCACATTTGTTACTGTCAGCAGTTTATAATTAATTTTGTGCAAGCAGTTTGGAGATAACCTTAAACGAACTTACATGGTGTGGAAAGTAGAGTAACTCTAACTAGGGTGTGAATCCTTGAATGTTGAATGTAAGGCTTAACCTAAATGTTGGAATTATAAACTACAAAGCTACAGCCGGCAAGCCGACTCAGCATAAGCGATAACGTAGACATTTGTGTCATAGTAAAATATCAGGTTACCGCAGCTGACCATAGTAGTCAGGCAACTGGACTCATGCGTCAGCGGAATATGCTTGGAGCAACCGGGTAAAGATAAGTGTTGTGCAAGTTTTTTATATTATTTGTGTGCAATTCTCATGTGTTAACTTATATATAATACATATGAAACTTTATTCTTAAGCCAATTCACATAACAGGTGATTTAATAATAAAACATAAAAAATATTTTTTCATTTAAATACCATAACTTTTGAAACGTTTCGGAAAAAATTTTATACATTGCGGATTCTTGAATAGCATAAAATTTCCAAAAATATCTACTTCAGGCTTATTTTTCTATTCAATTTAAAAATTTATATACATATTTAAAATCTCTAAAAAGTAAATAGGCAATTCAACACTTTAATTATATACTAATTACATGCTAGTACGGCTAGTACAAATTAGTGCCTTTTGACCTCGGAGGAAATCCAGCGAATCAGTAGTTCATGAATATAATATGTACTTGCGAAAAATATGGAATGAATGAGAATATGAAAGAACCAAGCTTTTTTTATTATTAATATTAAATTAATTAAATTATTAATTAAACTTTACAATCTGTCTTAAAAGAGTAAATAAATTCAATTGACTTTTGTTATTTATATTGATGCAATAAGTACAATTTGGCCTTTGAATTAAGTTATTAGTAACTATTATTTATTAAGCTTATTACAAAATGCGTATCATATACTTAGATAATTCTTACGAACTAAATGGCAGGTCTGAAAATTTCGTCTTTTACTGCGTTTACATAGGGACTATTTTGATTCTCATTATCGGAAAATTCTCTTTTGGTGTTACTCTGTGCATTCGCACGAGCAAAAAGAGTCCAGCAAGTCAAATCGAGTTTTGCTGTCATTCCTTTTCATAAAATTCTCGCAAATGTTTGTGCGGGTCGGCTACGCGACACATAGAGTGTGTTGCATATTTCATTTGTATGTTGGGATGAAGGTGTCACATTTTGCTTGCAATGAATTACCATGAATGTGGTAGAACAATATGCAAAATACCAACCCGCTTAATAGTTTCAAAGAAATACTTAAGTCGGGAATTCTCTAATCCTCCAGAATGTATCGAATACCAGCTACTAATATTTTCAAGGCCAAATTTATAACAGGAATTTCCTAATCTTTAAGTATTAAAAATCCTTAATTGTTTTTACTCCATATTTTTTTATTTTTTATTATAAGACATTATTGAATTAATTACAATTATTGTTTTAAATAAAATGATATTCCAACATCCTTTGCGGTTAGAAGAAATAAATATGAAAGCATCTTAATATTTTAGGTATATATAAATAAGTAAAGTTACCATTTTTATTATAGTTATTTTATGTATACTCGTATATTATTACATTCAATACCGATATATGTTATTAAAATTTAAATTGAATATTTTTGAGTATCTTAATTTTCTCCTTATTTAAAATTTTTCAAAATATTTCTATTATTCTATGCATACATATTTGCATATAACATACAAAAAATAGATATACAAATTTCCTAACATATCCTATATATTCATTTGAAACCTAGCGCAATTGCAACCATAAAAAGAATTTCAAAACGAAAAGAAAGGCTGAATTACGTAACAGCGAGCTATTACGAACAAGAACACAAAGTAAACCGGTTTGGGTTACAAAAGAGTCGGTGTAGGAACTGGGACTTTTTTGCAGTCGTCGCTGTTGTTTACATTATTATGTTATGTACATTTTATGGCGTGTTTGTTAGAATGCTAATTTAATTTAGCGATGTACCTAGAGCTGTATCTTTTTATTTCATCAATTACTGCTGATACCGTTGGCGTGCAGAGACGCGTCCGTAGTTCTTAACTGTTATATAGTGAATATAAATATTTTGGTAATTTGTATACTTGTTTTACTCTACTTGAACTTCAGAAACCCAAACTGAAACTTCATAAGTTTTTCTATGTTTAAGCTTTGAATCGAATAAAATTTGTGCATATTTTCTATTATGAAAATTACAAAAATCAATAAAATTATTCATAACTTTTGGTCTTATAGAACAGTTTTCTATACTTTACAAAATAGAAATTGAATCAAATTGATAAGTGAGAGATAGTTTTCGAGCAATCGTTTACGCCAATTTCAAAAAGATGGTTTTAAGAAGAAGCTTGAAAGTTTTGATAAAGTGTAAAAAAAGAAGAATTTTATGTCTATTACCTGAAATATCTTGAAAACCACTTCAAAATTGAAACTAATTGGCCCGATTCCCGTTGTCGTCCCGTCGCTTTGTTTCTATATTCGTATTCTTGAAGTATATTGTAACGCCAAAAAAATGTTATCGAAATTTTAAATTTAAATTAAATATGCTAACGCCCTTATAGCGCGTATCTGACGTTGTCATTTGTTGTTTTGAAATAAATATTTGAATCATTTTGTGAATTTAAGGACATAATAAATAAGACAATAATAATAAAAATAATAACTCCTCTTGAGCCTCTTGCTTCGGATTTGTTGTGTACCATTTTTTCTTTATTTTGAATTTTTGGTCCTTCCATACCTTAAGTATATACATACATAATTGTTATACAACTTCTTAGATACAAAAATGCAATTTTACAAATTTTATTTAATTCATGCCAACCGTCTTCGTCGCGGCATGGAGGTGCATTAAGTATTTTCGAAAAATCCATCTAAAAAATATCAACATTCACTTTTTTCTAGTAATTTTCATATTCCCTTCGAATATTCGCACTCGTTTCTATCTCGCTCTCAATTACTACAACGACAAAGAGCGACTGTTTCTATCTCGTTATCATCATTTCATATTCCAATTTACTTTCGATAAATGTCGACAATGCTAACAAGAATGCCTCATAGCCGTTCTTATTTAATTTTAAAACGAAAACGCTACCGCGAATAGGGCCAAATATTTTAAGCATACGTATGTTTTAGATAGTTTTGGTACATATATTAATCAAACAAGTAAGAAAGGGCTAAGTTCGGGTGTAACCGAATTTTATACTCTTACAGCTTGCAAAAATCAATCAAATTTTGCGAAAGAATTCAGCATTCATTATTTGAAGAAATTGCAAATAAATTACAATCTAATTTGGTATCTTCCAGACTTATATTGAATATCTTTAACTTAGACTTAATTTGGTTGCACATCTTCAAATGAGATAAATGTAATATCAACTCAACTGAAGAGGCTAAATTTGATATATAATATATTGAGTTGATATGGAAATCGTCAACCAGAGGATAGGAATTCATTATATTAGGGCTATGAAGTTTAGACTAAGGTCTAGACCAATTCAATTCTAATTCAGCACTAAACCACATAATTTTTAATAAAACTTGTTCATCTAAATTAATTAAAATATTATATTATATTTTGACTTACCTGAATGGTTTAAAGACCGGTGGAAAGACGGAAATTATTAGATGAGGTATATTGGAGGCAGAAAAAGGGACGAGCTGATTGCAATAATTTGGGCGTTGCTCAGGTATACTTGAGAACATATCAGTTAAATTTCTAGGTTTTGTTTTGTACACCTCTTCCTTGACATGACCCCTTAAAAAGAGGTTTATTGCCGTCAGGTCAGGCAACCAGCCAGCGGAAAGTGGAGCTTCTTGATTTTAATTTGTTTTAAAATTTTCGTTGAAGCCCCATTTTCCAGTTGCTCCATTTTGCTGGAACCAAACTCTATTGAAAGCGATACGTTTTCGATGCAGTTCTGGGTAAAAAAAACTTATTTAACATCTTTAAATAACGGTGGACAATTTTGCTTTATTACAGTTCCGCTTAGATCAAAATGGACCTCATCAGACATAAACAGACAATTTATCAAGTTAATGTCTTCTTCGGACATTTCAATCATTTTTTGGAAAAATTCCAGGCGAATAGGCAAATCTAGAAGGCATAACTGGCTTGTTATTTGAACTTTGCACGGAAAGAGGTTTAAGTCATCACGAATTATCCGTTGTAATGATCGTCTACGAACTCCAAATTGCGTCGATAAGTTGCAAGTCGAAACTCTTGGATTTGCCTGAATCGACGATGCAACAGCTACGATTGTTTCTTGAACATGAATATACAGATCTCGATAGTACGGTCTTCTTGCGATAGTTCTAGATTCGGCAAACATGTTTACCAACCTCATAATGATTCATCTACTCGGGGTGTGCCGCAAAAATCCCGTCTGAATTCCCTTTGGACGGAAATGACGGTCTGCAAAGCATGGTACCGCTGCACTATCCAACCCTCTTTTCAGTATCCCAATCATTAATTTTTAAAAAATTTAAAAAATAACCTGCCAAATAAAAAAAAGGAAGCCGATTACTCACACAGAAAAAAATTTATTACGGTTTGTTGTTGTAGCATTATTCGTGAGCCTTGTATTAATTGGCCCTTTATTTGTAAACTGGAATGTGAAAAAATCAGATGAAATTTAATATTGTGTTATATGGGAAGGAGGCGTGCTTGTGCCCTGATTTTCTCCATTTTTACTCTGAAAAATGTTATATACCGAATTAACTTGAAATCGGTTGAGCAGGTTCCGGGCTATGTAAATTCACCAAAAAGTGAACGCTGTTACTCCCACTGTTGTAAAATTAGATGTCTCTCACGCATTTGGTTATTGATTTATTACACTTTTAGTAGTTTTTAACAAAACCGTTATATGGAGAGTGGGCGGGGTTATCATCCGATTTCACCTATTTTCACACAATCGTAAAAAAGTTTGAAAAAATTTGTTCTGCACAAATTTGGGTGATATATCTATCTATCTATCGAACTTATTAGGGGTGGGGCCATGCCCACTTTTAACGGCTTAGTTAGCTTAGCTTCATCAAGATATCTTAATCAAGTTATTGCTTGCATAAAAGGATGACTCGAAATTCAACTCGTCTCATCAACCTGATCATTTATATATATATATATAATCTTATATGAAACTCAAGTAGTTTTAGGTGACACAAACAACCCTTATTTGAACACACCTTGTATACTCTGAAGCAACATGTCGTAAGAGTATAAAAAGAAAAAATTGATTTTTATTGCATTCCAGTAGAAATTTAAAAAATCGAACAAAATTCAGTTTGCATTCTATTCGAATAAATAAACGTCCACTTAGTAGTTATAAGAATTTTCTGTTTCTGGTCATCTCTTTTTGGTTTGTGTAATAAGTGTGTCATATTTTATAGCAAATACTTGCGTGTTTTTATAAAGTGCGTAGATTTTTGGGTGAAAATAAGTGCTTATCGTTTTGAACGGTATTTTCTGTAAATATAAAAGTGTTATTTATATGAGTTAAGTACGTGAGCAACAAAATGTTCCAAATATAATATATAAATATATATATTTTTTTATTAATAGGGATACTATGCCCTAATGGTATGGTTCAAGTCATATTCAAGGGATATATTATCCCACTGGCGTATAGTAGTCAAATGAAAATAATCAATATATTATTGTATTTAACAATATCTTAGAATGAATAGAAGAAGCTTTGGTGTAAGTCTGAACACAAATAAAATGACTGCGATACTAGATACTAGCGACTTTGACCTCAGCGATTTAAGTGCGTCTGATTCCGAGTACATTCCAAATTCTGATGCATAAATACATGAACACTCTAGCAATTCCGATAAGGATACAGAGAAAGAAAATATAATAATTCACAAATATTGAGGAGTGAGGGTTACTATCTTTGAGTCTCTGGCGAAGATTACGCTGCTAATGAAAATTCCAATTTTCATGTCTTGTGGGGAGCACCATCAGACTTATTTTGTTCTTGATTTTCTATCATTGAATAGGTTAAGCCCATTATATTAGCCTCAATTTCAAGAAAGTCTACTCAGCTACAAATATTCAAGTGTCTATTTCCAGAATCATTATTTATTTTCATTGCACAGTGAAGTTTTTGTTGGGAATATCTCTTAAAATGGGTTATAATAGACTTCTTAAGATATCTGGTTACTGTTCTCAAAATGAATCTATGGGAAACCAGTTTATAAAATGAACTATTACACGAATATCAAAATTAAATGTCAAAACTTTATTTTAATTCTCCTGAGCAACCGTAACGGGCATCTAAACGTTATTATATAGAGAAGGGAATAGGTTTTCAATTGTATGAAATATACCTTTAGCAACGGTTGCAGTGATAGATCACGTTAGATCATTGATGAATCGATGGCTAAATTTAAAGGGATGTCATCGATAAAATAATATATCCCGTTGAAGCCGATTAAACGAGGCATCAAAATTTGGCAAAGATGTGATTCCAAAAGTGGATACACTTATGACCACAATATTTACACCAGCCCCATCTGGAAATTCGGGTGAAAGGGTGGCTACTAAGTTGTGCGAAACTATGCGCAATCTAGATACGGTTTTGGTTTTTGGTGGCTTCACCTCATACAATCTAATGAAAACTTTACCATTTTCATGTGTCGGAACATGTGTTCCAAATAGAAAAAACTTGCTAATTGTTAATGACTGTTTGAAAAAAGGAGAATATATATTTCGCATTAGTGATGCGGGAATAATGGTGGCAAAATGGCGTGACTTACGTAAAGTCATTGTTGTGAGTAACTGTCACAAGCCTACAGTTTTCACAGTCTTGAGAACGCAGAAAGATAGATCTAGGCTTTCTGTCAGCTGTGCTGAAGCCTTGGTTTTTTATAATCAGAGAATGGGGGAGTTGAAATATCTGATCCAAAAGTTGAAACCTAGAAAATCTCGAAATGGTGGCATAAAGTTTTTTCAAACTATCAATGACTTCTGCTGTAAATGCATATTATATTTATCAGGAAAACATTCAGAAAAAATCACAAATAAAAGAATTCGTTGTTCCACTTGCAGAACAACTAATTGCGCAAGGTAGAGCTGGGACAAAATTCAAAAAAAGTATCTTTAGGTCCTAGATCAAATATACCAAACAAAAGTTTAAATGTAGGGGATCATATGCCAATAAAAGAAGATGGACGTTGACACTGTATTTAATGCAGCTCCATAAAGAAGGAAAAACGTACATATTACATATAGCCGATATGTTCTGAATGCTTTGGTAAATTTCATGAATAAAATAAAAAAAAAAAAACAGATATAACATTTTTATTTATTATTTGAGACTAATTACAAATACTAGAAAAAGAAGAATGTTCTATGGTTCAAGAAATTTCTTTTGAATTTTTGTCATTTACCAGTTTAAGGTACTAAATTTAATATTAAAATTAAATTTGTACATATGCTAACAACTATAATAAACATATTAATTTAACAAATTTACATAGTTACTAATTTCCATTGGTTATTATAATTTCTCTTTTGAATCTAAGTTTGCAAAATTGCAATTTACGCAACCAAATATTAAAATATCAGACATTGGCATTTTATCATTGTATAAATCTACAAGTAACCAACCCTAAGCTTTTCACTAATGCAAACGCAAATTCTACTACTAAAGTCACACTAGGTACGGGTTGCCTACTTATATTATACTACTAAGTCACACTTGGTGCGGGTTGCTTACTAATATTCTACTAATAAAACGTCCAAATGCCTCAAATCTGCTATAGTGTGTTGAAGTGTTATGTTTTAAAATTTATAACTTGAAGAATGTTTTTATTACATATTCAAATATGTGTTGATTTTTAAAATTCCTAAAGATTAAATTTAGATTTAATAAATATTATATCGCTGTGGGTGACTTGGAATATTTTGTAAATATTATTTAATAATTAGTACTTTGTTTGGATTATTATTAATTATGAATATTGTTGAAATTAGTACAAGAAGATTGTCAAAATATGTGACAAATTTGTTAATGAATACAAGTGAATTGTACCTGGTTTTATATATTCATTTTGGTTTTTGTTTAAGTTGATTATATCGATTTATATTGTTAATGTCAATACTATTCGTGAAGTGTACCTGATTTTATATATATGTTTATTTTATAGTTATATTTGTTACGAAAAGTAGATTGATTTGGAATTGTATGTATTATACGCGTGAATATAGGCCTCCTGGGGAACCGAACACCCATAAAAGATCGGTAACACGCCCACATTGAATCCTCAGAGGAGGTGAGAAAAAATAATATATATGTAATAAACTTTTGTTTCGAAAATACGTTTGATATTTTTTATTAATGTTTTCTATTACAAATACCTGTTCACAAAAAAGTTCTTAAACTACATTCCTTTTATATAATCTCTGTGTCAAAAAAGGCTGATTTCGATCAAGCGATCTCAGCTGTGTTACACACATAGGAAAACAGCTGCTTCTTTTGTTACTTGTAATAAACACTTTGTACTATTATAAGGGCGTACACTTAAGTTGTTTGTTTAAAACTGGTCCTATCTTTTAATTTTGTAGAGTTTATGAGTAAAATAGTACCAACTATCTTACTTCAGTTTCCACACTATAGAAATAAAAATAATAATTAACAGAATATTATATAATATAAGATCAAATTTGATAGTTACTCCTCTTACACGATACGATAGATTTTTTATTTAAAGACAAAAAATTGGTTATGAACATATTTTAGCTTTTGAAGAAGAAACCGGATCTTGGTATTCTCTTGTGAAAAATGAAATTTTATTATTTATAATATTGAACTTTTTTTAGTTAAAAAAGTTTTTTTTCAGTTTTTTAGTTAAACAGCTCTTTATAGGTTTTTGTTATGTATTGATATGAATAAACTAAAACTTAGCATAAATAAAGACATACATTTATAATTTATAGAGAACCTGTAAATCATGTTTGGTGGCTAGCTTAAGAATAGTAGCCGCTAGGCAATCATATACCATAATCTATACAAATGACCGCTACTTAGTATACGTCTGTGGTGTATTGGGTGCGTTCGAGTTGGCAATCAAGACAGCATTGTTGTAAAAGTATTACGTTCTGCGTGAATTTCTGGCAACACTTGCAAACAACATCACGTTTTGCTGTCAATTTTGCGCGCAATTTACACAAATAATTAGCAACAGTCAATTTTTTATCTGCACATCAGCAGAGTATCAGCAAAGAAGTGTCAAATATGCAAAAGAGCTGCATAGCTCGAACGCACGGATTGTGTTTTACTGCCACCTCTTTTCCATACATTGCATTGCTTAAATTATTATTGGTATAACTAGACGAAGCTGAAAAAAAACTTTATGCATTGCCTGTAAAGATATTGTAGACTTGCATACATTTCTACAAGTATTTTTATCTAAAAAGTAAAAAAAATAAACGAAAATGGTCGCTAATACTCACAACTCTATAGAAACAGATCTTACCATTGCCACTAAAATTCTTTCCGTTGAGGTCTTAGGACAGAAAAGTGTCGTTGGGATTAGATCCGGATTGCGGAATGCAATCGAAGTCCCTTATTGCTTTTGACATGGCACATCGGTCGAAATTGAATTCGAGCTTAAGAATGTCCTAACATTGAAAATTTATAGGACCAACTCTTTGATATATTTCGGTGTGTCAGCTATCTTGAAAAAATTTATTCTACAGTCATCAAAAATCACTACATAATTAATATAAATTGGAATTTGTAACATGATTGGTTTCGGAAGCTCGTGCGCCAGCCAGCAAAAATATTTATAATATATCTAAAATTATAAGCATCATTAAAACAACAAAGGGGTGTAACCATACATTTTTTACTCGCGCAATTTGATTAACTTAAAGAACGTACTGGTATTTGGTATCATAGTATACTAGCTTAAACTATCGGTCATTTTCTCACTTGGTTTCATTAATACATTTTGATTCATAGCCGACATATATGTATGTATTGAAATCAATCTAACTAACACAAATCTCTATATTCTTCATATCAATATATAGGGTGATCCATTTCGAGGTTCCCTACTTTTCAAATTTAATAGGGAATGTTTATTATCATTCGAAATAACATTCTTTGGCATTTATTTTTTGAAGATTATTTCTTTCAAATAATGGGCCCGGTATATCTTAGAAGGTCCATCCGTTGAGTCCGATTTTCGGATTTGTTAGACTGGTAACTGGCGATTGACAGGCGTGATTTTTTGCTCCAAGGCCTGAATCGAAGCGCGATTGTCCGCATAGACTTTATACTTTAAATATCTCCTTATAACGGTGTGATATCCCACGATCTTGGTGGCCAATCAATCGACCCAAAACGTGAAATTATCTGCTCACCGAAGTGTTCTCTCAAGAAATCTATTGATTAATGCGATGTGTGGGAAGTGGCGCCGTCTTGTTGAAACCAAATGCCGCTGATATCAATAGTTTCAATTTCATTCATCAAATAGTCGGTTATCATGGCGCGATAACGTCGCCATTGACGGTTACGTTCTCACCGGCATCATTTTTGAAGAAATATGGACCGATGATTCCACTATCCCATAAACCACACCAAACCGTTGTTTTTTTTTTTTTTGGATGAAATGGCAGTTCAACAAAACTTGGCTCGAAAACGTGGTATCTTCTTGGAACTTTTCAAGAGGGAAGGTCGAGCGACTTCAGTTTTTATACAAGCTGTATTTTGTATGTTTTCAATTTAAGATCTCGATGTAAAATGCGCCAAGTCGTTCCATACGTCAGTCCAAGTTACTGCGAACGGCGCCGAATCGATTCTCCACAGTCTTCGTGTATTCTCAGCTACGGCCGCAATATTTTTTTAACTGCGTGCTGGACGTGGTCTATTCGATCGAATATTATCCAATAATGAATGCTGGGCCTCAAGATGGGTGATGGTGTTGGGAATAGTACGCTCAGTATGCTGATTATGTTCACTACAAGTTGAGCGAAGCGCGCGAAAAACATTATTTATAGAACGTGAATTTTCGTCATAAAGTTGAACGGTTTGTAAAGGTTGCCAGATGATTCTTGGGTCATCCGTTATTGTATATAGCTTTAAGTCAATGAGAAAGTCTAAAATCATTATAAGTGTTGTAATGGGGCTATAGGAGGGTCTGACTTGATTGCATTAACTTTTCGTATTAAACGAAAGTATGCTCGGGAATATATTTCCACACAATTGTATTAGGATAAGTGCATCGGCATAAAGAGATGGCGTAACTTGAGTATTATTCCATTGTTCTAATATTTTGAAAATGAGTTGAAAAGCTACTGACCTTGTGCGTCTTTTTTAGTCAATATGTCAATCATTTGAAAGGTAAACATCAATAACACTGATAAACACCGTTTTTGTCACACGAACTTTGTAATGAATAAATTATGAAATGTTGATGGTTTCCAAACCTAACTTAACCAAACTTGCTGGAAAGAAGTCTTTTTAGCATTTCTTTATACAATGTGAAAATGGGTTATCGCCTAGAAATGATTTGTAAACGTTGTCCAAATTTTTCTAGGAAGCCATAAATCGGAAAATTACAAGACTTCGGGTGTAATATCTCCCTAAGATTACATATGCTGGACTCTCATATGGATTTCTTTCCGACAAATTTGAGTGATGAACAAGGCCATTTTCTTATTGGAGAAACGCTATCAAGGGAAATGAAACGCAGAAATGCTAGCAGATTTTGTTGAAGACCTAAAAAAGACCTTCCAAAAGGCAAATATTCACTATAATCATAAGTATTGTTTTATATTAAGCAAGAGTTTTTCTAAGATTCTCTGATGTTTGTACTTTTTAAGAAAATACATACATACTTGTATATGCATGTTACAAAAATAAATTAAAATTTTGTTAACTAGTATAATTGTTCTTTCCAATTAAATATATCGAACTTTGTTTCTGAAAAAGTGTTTTTGCAAGGAGTTCTTTTTCATTACTTCAATATGAAGAAAACTTCAGTCAAAAATCATCGTATTTTGGTGGAGGTTTATGGTGAACATGCTCTAGCTGAGCGAATCTGCAGTGGTTTATACACTGTGGAAGAACATCCTGGATGCCTAAATAAATTTGAAGATGAGGAACTGGGAGCATTTTGCGTTAAAAACCGTTGCCAAACACTAGAAGAGCTCGCAAAATCTTTCGAAACGTTACAAGGAGCCGGATAAATTCAAAAACAAGAAGGGACGATTTTGTATTTCATAAATGCTGCTTGAACGATACATTTGGATCGGATTGTGAGTGGTGATGAAAAATCCATGAATCCTAAAAGCAAAATTTCATATGTGAAACCTGGCTAACCAGACAAATCATCGGCAAAGCTGAATATCCATGACGCCAAGTAATGCCTTTATTTCGTGGGCCCAAAAGGGTGTGCTGTATTATGGGCTTCTAAGTCCGGGGGAAACCATTAATGTAGAACGTTAACAACCCATCAAATTAAAGTGAGCGATTGCCGAAAAACGCTCGAAATTCGCAACTAGACAAGAAGCAATAATTTTCCGTCATGACAACGCTTGGCCTTATATTTCACGATCGGTTTTTTCCCCACCCGCCCACAAATGGGAAATACATTGAGTAATAAAAAAACTCTGCCAAAAAACACAAAAAAACGCACGAACCAATAATTTATAGAGCTGGGGTAATTTGTTGACCAAACCACAGTACATCCAAAATTACACCTTATGTAAAGTTTAACCAAAGCTTTGAAAATCCCTAATATTACATGCTTACATATGTACGTTAAAGTATCTATGTATGTTAATTTTTATATCAGATTGAATAGTTTCTTTTCAGCTCGATATACTTGACCCGGCAATATTCCAATTTCTTTAGCTTTTTGGAAAGCGTCATTTGACTCAAATTTCTTCCCAGTGGGTTTTTCAAGTTTGTACACGAAAATAAGTCATATGGATCCTAAGAGTACGGTGGATTAAGCAGTAGTTCGTAGGCTAACTTGACCCGAACCTGCAATCGTTTTCGATTCTACTAAACATACAGGTTTTTCAATTTCAAAGAATATCATTGTTTTCCATTTTTTACGTTTTTTTTTACGATTTTTTTTACCAAATTTGAGCAACGCTGCCAAATAATTTTAACAGTGCTTCTGTAAACTTGGGGTTATCTGTATTTTCAAGTATACTGTCTTCTGTAGCCATCCGCCACGCACTAACCTGTTATATAGTAGTATCCAGCACAAGTATACCGGCCCGCACCCGTTCCCGTAAGCCATTAAAAAATGTATATACATAATTCATATTTGTAAATTGAAAATATTTTTTTATCAGAAGATTCAATTTAAAATTAACTAATAACATTAAATAATTGTACACTCCGATAAACAATTTTCTAATACTTATACATGACAAAATTAATAATACTTTGAAATAAAAAATAATTAAATTTTTTTCCGCATGTATATATGTATGTACAAGGTATGTAGAAATAATATATTATATTATACATTTTTGCGTATATAAAAAAAATTGTGAAATCTTACGCATGCAGCGATGCAAATTTCTTACAACATTATTATAAAGTTTGGGATCTTTTACCACTATAATACTTACATTTATTACTTGTAAATATTGTAAATATATATGAAATAAAAAAGAAGAACCTCAATTTTAAATTTTTCAGTGTAACGTAAAGATCTTATGAATAAAAATTGTAATTGTGTATGTAAGTGTGAATATTACATATGCACATCGATAATTAAAACAGTTTTTCATTTAGAAAATACATTTAAATCAACACGTGTGCATTCATGTCTGTGCGAACATATGTGTATGCATAGGTATAAATAAGCTCTTTATTTTTATAGATGGTAGTCATATGTGGCAATTCGTTAAAGTAGTTGACTTAAGCAAATCTTAGAATTTTGATTTTAAAAAAATATCTGGTCATAAGTATATACATACATATATTTGTATGATAATTCAGCGCTTTGGTTTTAAAAGATTTACCATGGCACATATGGAATAACCTAAATTTTTTCATTCATTTTAGTCACTTCAATTACTTTAACATACTGTCACGTATAAGTTCTACTTTAAAATTTTGTACTTATACATACATTTAAATATATGTATGTATATAAAGCTACAAATGGTTTAGAACCAATAAAAGTTGTACTACTTTCTGGTATTAAAAGTAATATATAGAACATGTAAATATCTCGACCTAAATTACTCTCAAACATTACATTACAATACTAAAGTATATAAGAGCTCAGAACTAGTTTTTAAACTTATGCATTACCTTTCCGTTATATTTGTTAATATTCTTATTTTGGCAAAGGAACAAATCAAATGCAATTCCAATATAGTCAGTAAAAAATATCGTTGTGTGTGTAAGTAATTAGCTTTAAGATATATTCACAAATAAACGTATATATTTTGGTAGTATTTTGGTAGTCAATCAACAGATTCGCTATCGATGTAAAAATTAAGCTATATTTTTTGTGCTTTCCTTCCGGTCAATTTGATATTATCCAGTTATTTCTGCATTAACACTATATATCGATAAAATTGAATGCCTATTCAAGGTTACTATATCAATTGAAGAACTTCCAAGATGTAAAATATTTTCTTTTGGATAACCGTATTTTGCTTCTATTGTTATTGATTTAGGGTTTTCCTATTTTCGACGACGTCCTTTATTTACAAGACTATTTTCTTTCAATGTATCTACAGTTTTTTCCGAGGTTCTTTCCGTACTACTCCGTTTTAACTTATGTAGGCTATTTTCGTCATTAGGATCGCAATTGGATTTTAGCGCTGATATAAGGAATCTCAATTGCATTAAATGTGATGCCGTTATTCGAGGATTGCTACAGTTTTCTAACCATTTAAGAAATTGTTCACCGTGATTTATGGCTTCATAATCTCCATCTTCTTTTTTCAACGTCAATAATTTAAAGGGTTCTTCTTCATCTGTTTTATTGGAATGATTGTTGTTATTGACATTTTCATCGCTACTATTTTGATTATTGTCACTTCCATAGCTGATATTAGATTCACTTATACATCCATCATCATCTGCTCCTTCGACACTTGTTGGCGTAGTAGCTTTACTTAATGAAATTACGGAGGGATTATTATTGATTTTGTACAATAAATTATCCAGAACGTCTTTGCAATCTGACATATTAGTACCGCAGTCTTCTGCTTCTTCATTATAAAGTGGAGAGTTGGGAACTTCGGTTGGTAATTGCCCGTTTGGGCTGTGTACTGGAGTAGGAACTAAACTTTCTCCTGTATTAGGACTCTGGGCTGGTGGTGTCGGTGATGGCGATATAGCTGTTACATTGTTTTTTACCGTGCGTGCTGATAGATCTTCGGGTTTGTTTGAAGAATCTACATTGTCCATATGGGTACAATGGATATTGTTAAGTATTGCTGAACTTTCCATTGAACAGCTGTCAATATTTTTTGTTAGTTGAGTAAAAAGAATATTTTCCAATGGAGAACTTTGAGTGGATATATTTGATGGCGATACAGTAGTTTCAATATCTGTTGAAATGGTCGTAATGGAAGACGATTGATGTTGTTGTTTTATAGTTGGGCCATGAAGAACAGTGGCCGCAGTAGTTGGTGCTAATGAGTTAAGACTAGCGCCCAAAGCTTTGCACCAATTAAGCCATGTAGAGTTTTTACCGTCCAAACTATTGGACGGTGCGGACGATGAGGTTATTGATGCAGAAGTATTTAGTGGGGTAGTGACATGAAGTTTCCCTGACTGATGTGGAGTTGAAGAACGCAACGGTGGACTCGATGTCCCCATTGGCGGTGCTATTGGTGATGGATAGAGGTTATTCAGTCCCAACATTGCTTGCTGAGACTTCAACCAATAAATTAAGGGATCATCTGATAAAATAGAAAGCGACGGTGCGAGAGATGGGCTAGGGCATTTAATTTTGTTCTTATTATTATCTTCATTTAGGCGTAGGTTAAGTCCATAACAAGATTCTTCAGAAGTTGATGTTGGTGACTTTTGTTTCGCCCAATTTTTAACAGATAACCCCTGTTGTCGATCTCCACAGTCACTCCGAGGACTTTCCAATTGTAGTTGAGTTTTTGTTTTCACGTTACGCAATGGGTTTGCTGTAACCCCTAATTCATTTAGACAAGACATCGCTGCCAGCCCAGGATTTAATTGTGCTAAAATATTGAGATTTGATGTAAGTTCATTGAAACTAATTGCTAGAGGTGATTGTGCCAGGCCAGATAGCCCCGAAAGCTGAGATAGGCTTGTAAGGGGACTTATAGCGGCAACTGCTGGATCTGTTTGACGTGATACGTCGGCGCCAAAACCTTTATTCTTCACAGCACCACTGAAAGCAATATAGTCCGTAGCCAAGCCATTGAAACTAATCTCTGAAAGGGTTTTGCTTGACGCATAGTCAAGACCATTTAGCGGAGATCGTTTATACATAATATCATCATATTTTATTTTATTAGAATAAATGAATGGTACAGAACTACCGTCCAACTTTTGACGTTTTTCAGGAGGTCCTACAAGAATAGCGCCAGATGATCCCAGTTTTTCGGCCAATGAATCAGCTGTTATTTTATCAGTTTGCCGTGACATAAAACGCAGCTTATCCTCATTTTTGCACCATCCACGTAATGTAGATTCTGGAACTCCAATATCACGAGCCACCGATGCTTTGGACTCTCCATCATGAATTCGTTGAATAGCGTTGATTTTATCACTTGGAGTCAAACTACGCAGTGGGCGTTTGCCCTTTGTACTCATCCGAATATTCATATGGGAATAGCTGGAGATATCCAACTTCAGACCGTTTTCGAACAGTTTGAATTCTGCAAAAGAGAAAATATATAAATAACAAATTGTCGAAAAAATATTTGTAGCTTATTTTAATACTTTTAGAAGTATAACCAGAGATGCAAGAAATTATAATTCGATATCAGAAGGCATACAACATGTTTGCTATATACAAGGGTTGTTTTTCTCCTTAAAAATTAACATATGTAAATGCAGGGTTGCCACAGTGCTATTACCCACGTCCAATAGAAATGCACCACACTTTTAAAATATTTAAGTTTTACGATGTACCACGCGAGTTTTGGTTGTTCAGACAAAACTGTGCTACACTGTCGATATAGTATGTAAACATGTTAAAACAATTTTTCATGAACATGAACACGCGCTCTGACATAAGAAAGCAAGTGTATGCAAAATGAGTATAAATATACGTAAGTACTTCATTTTGCCAGACAGTCATTGGTAGTGGCTTAACCATACAAAAGTAACGCCCGCTGGTCTCCCTTAAATTTACATATAACAACGCTGATACGCAGTCATGGTGTGTTACTTTCAAGTGGACGAAAGACAATGCCACACACTAAAATGGAAAATGCTAATTGGTGCGCTTCCTTCGACACCGCATTGTATAGAAGCGTAGTTACGAATGCGGGAGATGTTGTATGTACATCTCCTCGCGAAATCACGAATAAGCAACAAGCAAAATTTCGTCGGCTCTACGTCGGTTGCCTGTGAGTCGCGTTTATGCACGTGACTAAAGATTTATGATTTGTTTACCTGTACGCTTATTGTCCTCATTTTAGTCAAAGAGATACACAACCCTAACAAAATAACAAGAGCGCAACATGTTTGTCCGAATTCGTTCGTCAAACTCACAGTGGGTCCATTAAGACACATCATGAAAACAGGTATGCACAAGGCGTATGGCTCCCCATTTTGTGGCAAACTGTTTTACATTATAGAAGCCCAGAAAAAACAACCACCTGATATTAGCATTAGCTCCGCCCAAATATATGAAGAGAGCTAAGGCTCCTTGGTTATTGCTTTTAAACTAACGAGTGCGAAATCAACATGTAGTGCTAGAATATGTAATTTATTAAATTAAGAGAATTTTGTGATAAGAGAAGTATAAATTTCTCTTGGATAGAAATAGTTCCCAAGAGATATTTGAAAGAGTAAATTTGAATACAGCTGAACATTGAAAAGGTATTGTTTGGCAGAACATACATCATTTTGCCTGTAATTATTAACAAATTCATAGCAGCATGTTGCAGTTTGTTTGTAACACCTAAAACTAATCGAGATAGAGACAAAGTTTTTAAAAAGTGGGGAAGGTCCCTCATTCGAATAGGTTTAAGGTACATACTTATCTTACAAACCAATAAAGCTAAATCAACTAAACTTGCTGTAGCTGTTGCCGGTTTACTTTTTACCGTATATATCGGCGAATGTGTGAGTTATCTTCATAAATGTGTGACAGTTTTCTGATGTACCCAATATAATATAGTATAATATAATATATTGAATTAAGCCCGCTTGGTTGTGCTTATATGACATCATATAACTCTTTTAAGTAAATTAGGATGATTTTAATATAAATAGCTCGGACACGAAGCAAAATATATCATATATTTTTTATGTTGAAGTGCTAATTATTGTAAATTTTTGATATTTTCAATTATTTCCTATTAACATATATGCATGTAATCCAGTTATGTCAAAATAATATGTAAATTACGAGAAGAACAAATTTAATTTAATTAAGTCAAATTAACTTGTTTTTGTGTTACATTTCATATTCATCATTGTTTCATATGTATGTATGTATATATAGATTTTGTAAATTTAAAATTAATTTTGAACAGTTGCAGAGGTTTACAGTGATTTCGTACCCCTAGATATAACATCGATTTTGGAGCGCACAGTTCATGCAACTATCAGTGGTTTTGTAAAATTTGCTCTCGTTTATTGTACTCTTGCAACATGTTTCTAAAGAGCATAACAATTTTGTTTACCTAACAGTTGTTTGTATCACCTAAAACTAATCGAGATAGATATGGAGTTATAGATATATAAATGATCAGGCTGCCGAGACGAGTTGAAATCCGGTTGTCCGCCCGTCCGTCTATTCAAGCTGTAACTTGAGTAACAATTGAGATATCTTTATGAAACTTGGTACACGTGTTTCTTGGTACCGTAAACCGGCTGGTATTGCAGATAGGCATAATCGGACCACTGCCACGCCCACAAAACGCCATTAATCAAAAATAAATAAATTACCATAACTAAGCTACCCAATAAGATAAAAGACTGTTATTTGGTACACAGGATCTCATTATAAAGGGGCATCTGCAGTTTAAATTTTTATTATTAAAGTGGGTGTGGTCTTGCCCCTTAATAGGTTTCATGTGTATATCTCCTAAACCGCTAAAGCTATAATAACAAAATTCACTGAGAACAAATATTTTTAGCACTTCTATCGACAGTGCGAAAATGGATGAAATCAAGTGACAAGCCCGACCACTCCCCATATAACGGTATTGTTAAAAACTACTAAAAGCGCGATAAATCAAGCACTAAACACGCCAGAGACATTAAATTTTATGTCTGGGATGGTATGAGTTGACTTTATATGAACCGCGTTCAAAACTAGACAGTGGTACCGCCCACTTTTAGGTAAAAACTCATATCTTGGTATCGCCTATTTTCTATATAACACCATTTTAAATATCATCTGATTCTTTCACTTTTCACTATATCAAGCAACAATGTTTGAATAATGCGTTTAAGGTATGCCACCTTGTGACCAAAAATTGTCTAAATCGAACCAAAACGGTTCAAGCCCCTAGGTATTGAATATGTAGACCCCAATGCCTATTGTTGACTTTTTACCGAATCTATCGGTCAATGTGTAAGATATATAATTGAAATTCATATCATAAAATAAATAAATGAAACTATCGATAGTATTATGTCTTTGTGTCAAAAATTGGTTGAATCGAATCAATACTTCCTTTAATATAAAATTTTGCCAGCACCTGAAGTAATTTCCCGGGCTTTGATCCTTGCAAGTTGCGAGAGTATAAAATGTTCGGTTACACCCGAACCCGACTTCCTTACTTGGTATTTATATATGTGTATATATTATATATAGGTATATGTATGTATTGTATAATTATATTAACTTATGTATTTCAAAAAATTATTTAATTATATTTAATGTTTGAAAATATAATGGTGTACTAAATAGGGCTTGTGCGTGTAAAAAATATAACCACAACTCAGAACTCAGGTTTTCGAAAAACCTTTTTAAAATATTTGGGCATTTATTTATGCTCAAGAAATAGTTTTTCTGCGCTGTAAACATCTTTAAAATTCTCTCAAGAGAAGGCATTAATGCAAGGCATCTTGTTTTACTGTAACCCAACAGCTTCTTATATTCTGTATCAGTGGAATCACAAATCTCTTTCAGGGCTTCTACTCGAACGCTGTAGATATAGAAGAATGAATAGATTTTTACGATGATGCCTTCAAAATCAACAGGGAGACAATCTGCGGCTGTTTTTCTAGCGTTGTGAACTACATGAGCTGCACATCCGATTCCAATGAGCTGCCTTCTCACCCTTTGGTTCAGTTTTGCGAAGACAATATTAGCCCCTTACCTATTCTTTCCTCCAAAATTGCAATTCGTATTGTCTCCACAAAATGCAACAATTTTCTTGACCAAATCATTAGCACATAATACTTCCATCAAATAGTCGATAATTAAATCAGATGTTTCTCACGGCAGTTCTCGAAATTCTAAAATTTTGAACCTTACGCCCTCATGTGGTAAAAAGTACCTTACTACAATGGGAAATAATTTTATTGATCTCAAGTCTGAATTAAGTTTGAGGCACAATCATTCGAACTAAAACTATGGTTTTCTTGCACCGTGTGGCACCCTCTGCAGCAGCTATATCCAAATCTTTCGAAGACGGCAAATCGGTTATTTTACAAAAATTTTGCACTGACGAACTTGAAGCGGCAGCTTGCTCAGAACGCCTATGCCTTTCAGAGCGTAAATGTTTCTCAATATCGCAAACGCCGCCATGTCCAATATTAAAGTCACCACAACACTTTTCGCACGTAACATCGGCTGTCCCACTTCTTTGTTTTATAAAGGAGTACTTATTTTGCAAAGTTATGTTAAAAGTACACTTGGGTTTAGGCATTTTTTTTCATTATAATGCTCACGAATGTGATTAATTGTTTTTTGGCAAAGTTGTAAAAGATTTCATGAAATGTATAGCATTTGGAACAAAATCTAGTAGACATAATGGTGTGGGGTTCTAAGCAAACGATCGAACCAATTCATACCATATACGGAATCAGTGTAAAAATTAGCTTTTCTGTTCTATATCCTTTAATGTTCTAGTTCAATAAAATATGTAAACTATTAATATAGGAAATTAATGAGAATCTCGTGATAACATCAAATAATCGTATTCGAACTATGATACTGTAGTGGAAATGTTTTACCTAATTATATAAATCATTATATGAACATAAATGTTCTTTCAGAAAAATATTCTTACTAAAAACTTATAAAAAAATTTACGAACGTTAAATTTCTGTACACTTGTCTGTTTAGAATTAACCAAAGAGGCTAGGCCAATGTTATTGTAGGTGTATTAATAATTTTCTCAATATATGCTTATGTGTCATTATAATTTTATTATATTTCTATACTTGACGGTTTCCACCGTTGGGTACTTAGATGTCAAAATATATATGTAAACATATGTATAAATGTAAGGTACAGTAAAACCTTAAATATGTAATAATAATGAGTGGGTAAACGAAGAACATACATTATGAATGCATAATGCATTTGTTCGTGAATATACATACATATGTATAAAAGTTTACTATCCAATGACTGCATTAGAGTCTGGCAAATAAAGGTCAACAAAGGCAACTATTTAAAACACATATGTATGCCTTTATTCAAGTCTGGTACTTGTATCTTGGATCGTAGTAAGTAAATGCTTTT